CGATCCCGCCCCCCCCGCCACCCCCCCCCCCCGCCCCAGTTTATATACTGAGCATGACGTCACATGGTATGGAATAGCCCTTTGGGCAGTTTGGATCAACTATTCTGGCTGTGCCCCCTCCCAGTTTCTTGTGCACCTGGCAGAGCATGGGAAGCTGAAAAAGTCCTTGACTAGCATAAGCAGTACTCAGCAACAACTAAAAACATCAGTGTGTTATCAACATTCTTCTCCTACTAAATCCAAAACACAGCACCATGCCTGCTACTAGGAAGAAAATTAACTCTATCCCAGCCGAAACCAGGACAGACCTAATGCATATGCCACAGAGAATTCAGAGTCAGCCTACAATACACAAAAAAGAAAGATAAAGGAGAGAAAGGGAAGCATTCTCTTATCTATATTTTCCAAATACAAAACTTTGAAAAAAAAAAAAACCTGCAATCAAATTAAGGTACCAAATAATTTTTCCCTTTTCAGATTCTCACTTATTAGACAATACGTTATAGATGATCTACTGCTTGCAGAAACAGTAGTCATGTGGACAGCTTTGAAAACAAGAGGAATATAATCCTTTTGTAAATCTGTTTAGATGGGTGTTCCAGGAAAGGACAAAAAAAATAGTGAAATAAAATGAAAATAGACTGAGAAGACCAGTATCACTAGTGGAATGCAATGTGGTAAGCAGATAGTAATAACAGAGAGAAAGGAAGCAGAAGGGGAGGGTGCTACAGCAGGGGATAACAGCTTTGCAGAGCCTGATGCCAGAACTAGGGAGCCAGCAAAACAGGGAGCCAGTGCAGGTGGTGACTAAAACTGCTAAAGATGATGAACTTAGAAGCTGAGTTTTGAATGAACCAAGGGCGCTGATGTTGCTTAGAAGGGTCCTGAAGAACATAAAGGAAACTATTACTGTGTTACTGCCCAACGCACTTGAGAAGTTCAAAAGTTAATTTTTTTACCCTGCATTATAATATTAGGCATTTGTTGAAATATATTTGCAAAGTGAATTTTACTGTTTCTAGTTAAATACAAATGAAGTCAAAATAAAAAAAATTTAAAAAAAGATCAGTAACATACCAGTTCCATTAACTGTTTTAGCTGACCTATCTCTTCTGGAAGGGAACCTAGCTTATTGTTACTTGCAATTAAGACTTTTAGAGGAAGACCACACAGGCAAGCTGGCAAAGAAGAAAGCTGATTTCGACTGCAACAAAACAAAAACAACAACCATTAAAAACACTAGTGACGTTCTACTGTATACTCACATAAAGTCTGAGAGTTTTAAAATTCCTTTATTTTTATGGAGATAAAATTTAAATTTTGAATGGCAATCATTAAGAAAACACTTGCACATCAAAAATATCTGCATTATTGACTAAACAGTACTGTGGAATACTACCACTCTGGAAAAAATGCATTCTATCAGTTTAATAATACTGTATCAAGCCTGGTTGTCACCTAGAACAGCTGCTTCCCTTCCTAATGAATACAAGAAAGTCAACTGAGACAGTATTTTGCAAGTATTTAAACATTCCTGTGGTTTTATGTGACAGTATAGTGGATGTCTTTTGCTCCAGCTGAAAGACAAATAAATAAATTACAGATAAAATGGTTATTTTCTCAATTACTTTAAAGCACATGTATAGTTGAAGATTACTTCGTACTTGTTCTATGATTCAATATTAACCTGGGTAAATACAGTGAAAAATTCTGTGACCATCAATGGTTCATTTCTTTCCAAGACCCATGTTAAGCCATTTTATAACAAGTTTTTTAAGTGACTGACATATGTCATTTTATTCTTCATACCAT